CCAGGCTGGAGTGCAGTAGCACACTTTTTAAGGCCACCACAGCCTTGACCTGCTAGGCTCAGGCAATCCTGCTGCCTCAGCCTTGCAAGTAGCTGGAATTACAGGCGTGTGCCACCACACTGGGCTAATTTTTTGAATTATTGTAGCAACCTTGCCAAGTTGCCTAAGCTAGCCTCAAATCCTCTTGCCTCTGCCTCCCAAAGTGCTGGGATTATAGGCATGAGCCACAGCACCCAGCACTAGTCTGCTTTATCACTCCTGAGTAAACCAATAAATTTGAATTTCAGGAAAAGCAAAGATGGAGACTACTTTCCACAAAGGTATCCATATATTGTACCAAAAAATGTCATTCAAACAATGTGAGAAACACAACCTCGTGGTGGCCACGAGACACCCAAAGTCACATGGTACATGGTCTCAAAATGAATAAATTTATAGGGAAATACATGTCTGTGTTTAAAACCAAAGACTACCACCAACAAAATTAAAAAGAAAAAACCATAACCAAAAAAAACTTACAGCAATCTTGACACGTCTTACCAGGAGAGAAAAACAGTGTTAGCCTCCCAGGGAAAGAAAACAATTCAGAGATACACTGGAGCAGGTGAAGACCAGATGGCTTGAGGCAAACAGCCTACACTCAGTGCGATCACCTCAGGGTTCTGGGTCGTTAACCCGGGCCAAGTGAGGGCAAGTATCCATCTGTTTTGATCATTTACTTACAGTCTTGGTCATGTGAGCATCTGGGCTGAGAGGTGGGTAGAAATGTTTTTATTTTCTGGCTGGATCTTCCCTTTTGAGAAAAAGTTATCCTGGGCAGACGCAGGGTGCTCTTCTTTCATGCTGTGACCACAGTATTTTTTTGTAGAGCCTTGTTTCTGCTAGACCATCAGAAGTTTGAGCCCACTGTGCTCCACGCCTGGTTACCGCCCCGACGCACTGGTGCCAGGAACACGGTCACTACCACATGCTGAATGTTCAGTATGAATTTCTTTTGTTAGTGTCCGGGAGCTAATATGTCTGTGGTTATCTGCCTAGCAGCTCTTCTTCCTAGCTGAAAATGCTACCCCCTTAACCCATCTCTCCGGCAGGGGTGACTTAATCCTGACCAGGAAGATGTGAAGCAATCTGTAGAGACACTGCAGGGTGAGAACATCCTGCCTGTGGTCCTGGAGCCATCTGCAGCCATGAGGTGAGGTTCCTGTCCTACACCCAGGCAAGACGGGAAGGTGGGAGAAGTCAGGCTCCCGCCAGACAGCCTCATGTGCCAAGTCAATCCCAGAAACTCCTATCTCCAGGTTTCTTAATAAGTGATACTGAAGAACACAATCAAGCAAAAACCGCCCCACTGTTGAAGCCACTTTGAGTGGGCTCTCAGTTATTTTTTTGCAGAAATCATTCGAACTGATATATTTGGAAGTATTCTTATTCTGATCATGACTCAAGTAGTAAAGGGATTGTGAAGGGAAAGAGAAATAAAAAGTCTACCTTTTTGGGTACGCATCCAACATTCACCTGGAAAAAAAAAGACATACTTTAAGAATACTAAACTTAGGTCATCAAATGTACCCTCGGTATCAAGCAGGGGGAATTACTTGAGTTCTAAGTCCCAATGAACTAAATTCTACAGTTCCTTTTTTCTAGTAGAGAGCTAGAAAAGATAAGAACATTATTTTCCTTATGTGATAAGGTAGAGAATTTTATTCATCAGCATTTTCTCAAGAAAAAGGCATCACAGAGAGAGAAAAAAGGGCAATTAGATCGTTTGAGCATCTGTCTTAGGGGATTTCTGGGAAACTTAATATAGAGTATGCAAACAAACCCCCAGGATGGCCGTCGACTAAACAAAATGTGTAGTGGAAAGCTACATTATTCAGAGCCAAAAGATCATGAATCAAGTCGTGAGACTCACCCATGCTATGAAGTCTTATAAACTTGTTAGACCACAAATCTGAGTCTTAGCCTTCTAGTAGCCAACACACAAGGGAAAACACAAATAGTTATAAGATTTAAGCAAGTAAACACTAAGAAATATTTTTTAGAAATAGCTGTTCGTACCAGAAAGACTAGAAAGAAATTCCTCCCAAGGATCTTTGTAAACAAGCTGCAATGTATATCTTTATACGTTCATTTCTGTGCTCATGTTATTTTCATTTTAATTATTTCCTAAAACTAATTAAAAAACAAAACAAAACAACCCAAGCTGGGTTAAGTAGGATGCTAATTACAAAGCCTTGAGGGTAAAAAATTTGGACTTGACTGAATGGGTAAGCCACTCGGTATAATGTAACACAGGAGCTGCTTGCTGAAGGAAAACTAGATTGAACTTACTCTTTTTTTTTTTTTGGAGTCGGGGTCTCACTCAAGTGGCGGTTTTTTATAATGGGATATAGTCATTCATTACTCGTACAATTGTTTTGGACAAAGAAATAAACCAAAATTGGTCGGGCTCAGTGGCTCAGCCTGTGATCCCAGCACTTTGGGAGGCCGAGGTGAGAGAATCACCTGAGTCCGGGTTCGAGACCAGCCCAGGCAACTGGGCGAGACCTCATCTCTACAACAAACAAATAAATAAATAATTAGATGGGTGTGGTGGTACATGCCTGTAGTTCCAGCTACTTGGAAGGCTGAGGCAGAAAGATCGCCTGAGCCCAGCAGGTCAAGGCAGTATGGGCAACAGAGTGAGACTCCAACTCAAAAAAATTAAAAATGAAGGCCAGGCACGGGGAGTCACCCCTATAATCCCAGCACTTTGGGAGGCCGAGGTAAGAGGAGTGCCTGAGCCCATGGGTTTGAGACCAGCCTGGGCAATTTGGTGAGACCACATCTCTACAATAAATCAAAAAATTACCCGGGCGTGGTAACGCATACCTGTAGTTCTAGCTACTTGGAAGGCTGAGATGGAAGGATTGCTGAGCCCAGGAGGTCCAGGCTGTGGTGGCCATGAGCATACCACTGTACTTCAGCCTGGGTGACAGAGACTCTGACTCAAAAAAATAAAAATTAAAAAATTAAAAATTAGCCGGGCTCGGTGGCTCAGCCTGTAATCCCGCGCCTTTGGGAGGCTGAGGTGAGTGGATGGCCTGAGCCCGCGGGTTCGAGACCTGCCTGGGCAGCGAGACATCATCTCTACAATAAATCAAAAAATCAGCCGGGCGTGATAGCGCATGCCTGTAATTCTGGCTACTCGGAAGGCTGAGGCGGAAGGGATCGCCGGAGCCCAGCAGGTCAAGGCTGCGGTGGCCGGGAGCGGCCACTGCACTCTAGTCTGGGCGACAGAGTGAGACTCCAACTCAAAAAAAAAAAAAAAAAATTAAAAATTAAAAACTTAAGTTAGGTAAGCATAGTGACACATGCATATAATCCTGGCTATTCAGGAGGCTGAGGTAGGAGGATAACTTGAGCTCAGGAGTTTGAGACTGGGGTAGTCCATGATTGTGTCACTGCACTCCAGCTTAGGTAGCAGAAACCCCAACTCAAAAACAAACAGAGCCGGGCTCGGTGGCTCAGCCTGTAATCCCAGCACTTTGGGAGGCTGAGGTGAGTGGATTAGCCTGACCCCGCGGGTTCAAGACTCACCTGGGCAACTTGGCGAGACCTCACCTCTACAATAAATAAAAAATTAGCTGGGTATCGTAGCGTGCGCCTGTATTTCCAGCTACTTGGAAGGCTGAGGCGGAAGGATCGCTGGAGCCCAGCAGGTCAAGGCTGCCACTGCACTCCAGTCTGGGTGACAAAGTGAGACTCCAACTCAAACAAACAGACAGACAAACAAAAAACTCGAATGCTTTCTAGACATAATTTATTTTATTGTAGCCTTGCTGATCATGGTAATAAGGAACTAGATTGGCTTTCTTTAGTTGCTCCAAATTCTATCTGCTAACAGCACACCCACTACAATTTCATTATAAAGGAACGAATTATGTTTCTTTGTTCTCCGTTTGCATCTATTGAGGCAAAAGTTATGTTTCTGTAGTCTTAAGTTACCAGTTATTTGGGATTTCTTTTTTCCTGAAAAGAGATGGGTCATATACTATCAAGTTTTAGATATGGACCTTTTTTTTTTTTGAGTTGGAGTCTCACTCTGTCGCCCAGACTGGAGTGTAGTGGCTGCTCCCGGCCACCGCAGCCTCGACCTGCTGGGCTCCAGCGATCCTTCCGCCTCAGCCTTCCAAGTAGCCGGAACTACAGGCGCGCGCTACCACACCCAGCTAGTTTTTGATTTATTGTAGAGACGATGTCTCGTCAAGTTGCCTGGGCAGGTCTTGAACCCGTGGGCTCAGGCAATCCACTCTTCTCGGCCTCCCAAAGTGCTGGGATTACAGGCTGAACCACCGAGCCCAGCCTAGACTTGGACTTTTAAAAAATGAGATTATGCTATGATAAGAATTCTAGGAGCCAGATGCAGTGGTTCACACTTGTGATCCTAGTGATTTGTGAGGCTAAGGCAGGAGGATAACTTGAGGCCAGGAGATGAGACCATCCTGGGCAACACAGCGGGACCGTGTCTCCGCAAAAAAATTTTTTAAATTACCTACGTGTGACGACATGTGCCTGTAGTCCCAGCTACTCAGGAGGCTGAGGTGAGAAGATGGCTTGAACCTAGGAGTTCAAGTTCGTGCCACTACACTCCAGCCTGGGCAACAGAGCAAGACTCTCCCTAAAAAAAAAAAAAAAAATTTCTAAAGGCAAGAGGAGCAGCAACTCCTCCTGAGAAGGGTACAGAATCCAAGCCTCATAAAGGAATCAACACCTTCAGCAGCATTATGGGCACGCTATTCAGAAGAAAGTACTTTACACTAGCAATTAGAATAATTTATGGCTTCCTACCTATACTGCCCTTCCATCAGGCCAAGCTGAGGGTATGCTATTTCTCAATCCTCAAGAATGTAAAGCTACAGATATAGACGGGATGAGGCATTTCTAAGGAAAGAGGATGACAGGAGATTCCTAAACGGTAAGAACACAGGAAGGGGGCTGGATCCCTGTGGGAAGAATTCCAGCCCCTTAGTGGGGATGATTTCATCATCAAACCCACCTTTTCCAGTTCATTTGACAGGCCAAGTGTCTCCCAGTGCCTTCACTCCACACATTTATACCCTGCAGTTTGCAGCTTAAGTCACTAAGAGGCTTCATTTAGGACAGACCACAAAACCACTTTACACAAAGGAAGAGATAAGTTCAGTATACTAAATAAACACTCTGTGGGGTCCTCTGGCCACCTTTTCCAACTTCCCAGGAACCTTTAAAATCAATTCAGGGTGTCATAAAGCACTAAATGTTCTGACTCACACTCACAGATCATTAACTTACTCCTCGTGTACATGCAGAGCTATTTTAAAGTTATTTAAGGCTATTTTTTTAAAGTTTAGAATATGCTTCTTCAACAGGCCAACATGGATTTTCACTGGTGCCAAGTGTACATCAAGTGTGGCTTATTTTTAGAAGTTTCCCCTTTTTGGCTTCTAAATGTTTTTAGCTTGCAATCATTCACTCATGCAAAAGTACAGATTAAGCAGCACCTGTGCCAGGTAAAACACTAAATGAGTCCTGCTCTCGTGGGGCCTACAGTGCTAGGGAAGGCCACTGAGCCTATCCAAGATGCTGACCCAAGGGCAGCAGCAGAATCACTATATTTCTTACAGTCAAAGAACACTGGGTCAGACATCAGAGGAAGAGTGTGGTGGAAAACTGTGACCTTGTTGGGCAGAGAACCTGCATCCCAGCGCAGCACACAGGGGGGCCTGGGGCTCGTGTTGAAAGGCAGCCTACAGGCTGGGTGGTGGTGATGGTGGTTCATGCCTGTATCCCCAGTACTCTGGGAGGCCAAGGCGGGAGGATCGTTTGAGCCCATGAGTTCCAGACCTCCAAATAAAAAAAGAAAGAAAGGAAGGAAGCCTATGATCCTGTCCTATTTTGACAGTTCCTGTGAACAGGGCTCCAAGGATTTCTGCTGGTTTTAGAAACCTATTTACACTCCAGCAACATGACATCAGAGCCTCTGACTTGGAAGGGATGAACAACACACTTAGTTACCTCCAAAACTGAGGAGGCCAGGGGTGAAGAGCTGGTACAGTCATGCCCACTCCTACCCGGCCGCTCCTTTCTCCTTCCGCCTCCTCTAATGGACACGTGCATGAGGTTATCAGGGCATAAGACTCAAGTCAGACAGACAAGAGTTTGACTCTTAGCTCTCCCATTTAGTGGCTGAAGGTGATTAAAAGTTTCCAAATCTGTCCGAGCTCAGTTTCTCACTTCATAAAATGGGAATGATGATACTTCCATTATAGAGTTTTGAGGTTAGAGATAATGTGTATAAAGCACCTATTTCTAATTTACAATTGCTCTGATCATGACATTGACACCTCTGTATTATTTCTGCAGTCCTCTGGCTCCCCACATGCACACAAGACACACAGAAAAGAGGAGGTACTCTCCCAGGCCCCCCCCCATCTGAAACAGATTAACTGTTTGCCTCCTAGACAGGGGCAATTGCATGGTAAGTTCTCAGGGCTCC